GTGCAAACGAAGCGCCCCGCCACCCAGACAAGCTGTCCTGCGAGCGATGGCGAAACGATGTCGACGGTCACTGTGCGGCCGTTGCGCCCCAAGCCTTCGCTCCGCGACCCACGCCCCCGCGAGGGGTACCTCGCCGGAGTTTCACATACGGGCGCACGTAGCGGCAGCTCCGCCAGAGCGCCATGCGCCTACGTTTAGGTCGGGCCTGTCCCTCTACAGGGGGATTTTGGGCGAAACATTCAGAATAGTCAAACAAATCCCCTAAACTTTTCAAACATCGCCCCCAGACTATGTATTTGACTATTTTTGAACATTCCTCCTGTAGAGGGACAGGCCCGACTTAAGCCGACGTCCCAGATCCACCGCGGGGTTCGGAGCTCGGGGCCCGCTTCGGCTGATCTGCCGAGTGTCTCGCACGCAGATGGGTCTCCCTCGCCCCTCGCCCCAGTTCGCCGTCGAGCCAGCCCCGAGCGCAGGACGCGCGGGCCGCTTTGTCCCCGCGGCGCCCAGACCCGCGGTCCGCATTGGCGTCCCGCTCTCTCTCTTCCCTCTCTCTCTCTCTCTCACTGTCACTCTCTCTTTCTTTTCTTGATGTCTCTCTCTCTCTCTGCCTCTCTCTCTCTCTCTTTCTCTCTCGCTCTCTCTCTCTCTCTCTTGTTTCCCCCCCCCTCTCTCTCACACACTCTCTCTCTCTCTCTCTCTCTCTCGATTCAGATACACATCCCTCCCTCCTCCCCTACCCCCGCCCTCTCTCTACAACCACTCAACAGTTGCATCTCGCGAACACCGCTTGACCCTCTCCCCGGACGCTGTCCAGAAGCTGTTCGCCTGCTTCTCTTTACCAGCCGACTGCGTTCGGTGTCTCAGATGCCGCTTCCGCTGCGGCGTGGGCCCCATCTTCGGACCGGCGCTTGGCTCCCGCCGTGCAGAATGGCGCTCTGGCCCCGGCGCGGGCCACGTTTCTGGACTCGAGGTTAGGTTGTCGCCGTCCCCCGGTCCTCTTGCTCCTCCCGCTCCTGCCGCTCCAGCTCCTGCTGCTGCTGCTGCTGCTGCTGCTGCTGCTGCTCGTCCTCGTCTTCCTCCGTCCTATATCCCCTGTCTTCATCCTTCTCATCCGCCACCTCCTCCTCCTCCAATGTACGCAGCTGCTTTTCTCCCGATTGCGTACGACACGATGGGGTCCTCTTTGGAGTTCCCAGCTGCGATATGGCAAGCGTTGGCGGATAGGAACAAACATAGCAGTGGAATTCCATTGATTGATCGGTCAATTTGTCTTTCCTTTAGAAGCTGGTCCTTTCCGGTCCTTTGCTCCCGTAGTTCAGAATGGCACTGTCGCCCCAGCGCGGGCCCTTTTTTCTGGATCCGAGTCCTTCCTTATCATTGTCGCCTCCTCCTTTCTCCTCCTCCGCCTTCCCCTGGTCCTCCTGATCCTGCAGCTCTTTTTACTCCAATTCCTGCTGCTGTTCGTCCTCGTCCTCCTCCTTCCTGATCACCCTTTTCCTCCTGCTCAAGCGTCCGCGATAAAAAAAACAGCGCCACGGGAAGGGATGGATGGGAGGAGTAGGATGCCAGACATGGCGCGAGCGCACCTAGCTTGCCTCCCTCCCTCTCTTCCCTCACTCTCCTCGTCCTTCCCCGTCTCCCCATTCAGCATAGCCCAAGGAAAGCGGGCTTGCAGGGCATCTCAGAGTCACCTAATCGCCTCGAGCTTGGGCACTCTGCGCTGGGAGCACCTTGTAGAGCAAGGAATCTAGCAGGGAGCAGGCAGCCAGGATTAGTTCAACTCAGGATGGGATGCCCCTCTTGGCTTCCTCTGAAAAAAACCCTCGTGGACACTGGACCCTGTTTGAACCAAACGCGTTCGTTCTTCCGACGTGACTGTAACTGAGCGTTGGGATGAAGACCTGGACATGTAAATGGAGAGTAGCGCTAGGAAGAAACGTGATCTTTTCTCCTGGTGCTTGCGGCGCGAACCGCCTTGGCTCGTCACCTGCGCAGAAAATGGAAGCCAGCATGCCGAAATGCCGCATCGAAACATAAGATGAAGAAAAACGCCTGAACTCAGCGGCAACACGCTGCTGACAATTCTGGCATTAAACACGCTCAGAGCATTGCTCATGCGCGTGCTCTGAAGGGCACACCTATTCGAATACAATGTATTTCGGGTAGACGAGTTCACGCTTTAAATCAATTCATGCTTCAGACAACCACTCGGTGAAGTGGATCAAAGCATGTCCTACCAAACAGTGCTGGAATTCCGTCGACCAGCCTCTGCTGCAGGCCAGACTCCGACCAGGTGCTTGCTGGCCACTTTGCCTGGAGCTGGCCGTTGTAATTGGCGTCGGCGCCAGCTTGCTAGGCACTGAAGCAAGATACCGCGCATGTTTGTTTGCGCCCGAGCTGGGGGGGGGGCGGAGGGGAGCGGGTGCTAATGATGTGCGTACGGTCGGGGCTGATTGAAGAGGACACGCGGGAGGACACAGAATCCTTCCGAGGGCCACTGTGTCATAGGAATGTAGACAGCATGGGTCCCAAAACACAGGACACAAGGGCACCCTTGATTTATCAGGGTCGAGCGAGAGAAGGAGGAATACTTTCCGGAGGACGTTGCAGAAAACCTGGAGCATGATGAGAAGAACTCGAGCATGCGTAGATGAGGTATGATGGTGAGGGCGAGGAGGAGGAGGAGAAGGAGGAAGGAAAGGAGGATGAGGGGAAGGAGGAGGAGGAGACATAAGAAGAGGAAGAGAAAACCTGACGACGAGGTAGAGGGCAACGGATAACCATGGAATTTGCTGGACGGTAAAAGAAAACCCGAGACATAACACAGAATCGGGAGTTGGGTGACGAAGAGGAGTGGGATGAGGAGGAGGAAAACAGAAGGCGTAAAATGTGGAACACGGGGGAGAGTAGGTGTAGGAAGCGGATGAGGCAGGCATGACGAAAACGAAGAGGACAAGTAGCGAAACCATACGCCCATGCGAACAAATACTGTAGCATATGCTTGAATGCTGGCGAGCACCACCTGTATGCACTACTCGGGCGTTGAACTTATGGGGGTGGACTCTGGCTCGGTGGGCCATCAAAGAACCACTCCCCCCCCCAGAAGCAAACGGGCAATCCGTGAACGTGACCAGCATTCTGGGGGCGAATTTCAGCCCCCCGCGGCGACCGTGTAGCTCGCAACACAGGGCAAGCGTACGGTTGCTTGTATAAGCTCTCTTGCCAATCTCCCCCAAACCGCTTGAGCATGCGAAGAGGGACGCCAGCCGCCGGCAAGTTAGCCATGTGAAGCATACAACCCCCGAGGGGTGTGGCAGATGCAATGTAGGACCGGTGGCTAGAGCGTACCTCCTCCGGCCCAGCGCCTCGATCAGCCAGACTATCGCAAGACTCCACACGACATACTTTTGGTCTGCGGGTCGAGAGCGAGCTTCTTCCGGTTAAGAGCTAGGCGGGCCAGGCAAAGCACTAATTGGGGAGACAGAGCACAGGCGGGCGGGGCCTCAGGCGGCCGGAGGGCGGGCCGGGGTGCAGGCGGTGTCGAGGAGCTTGCACAGGAAAAGGAACGCCGAAGTCCCGGAGGGTGAGCGGTGCCCACAGGACATACACAAGTGGTTTAGAATAGGTCTCGGCCGCCTCGCCTGGGCAATGCCGGGATGGGTCTATCTTATGCCGCGGGGAGTCCCACCAACCGAGGTCTGCAACAGCCCATCTCGACGGCTTCAGCCCCCTTCCTTTTTAATTGCGACGAGAAGGATGTCATAACACGATTGGCTCAGGATACGTTCCAGGAGGTCTGGAGTATCTAGCGACCCACGCTTCTGCAGCCTGCGCGGAACATTACAACATCTAGGAAATCTTGGAACGTATCATTATCATGTCCTCTTGCTCATGTAATGAATTACGGAATGTGCAATATTCGCTCTCGTGCTGGGCTGTGCTCGCAGATTGCCCAGTGCCGACATCCAGGCACCGACCCCATCCGCCCCGCAGTCAACATTGGCCTCCAGATCCCCCGCCCGGGCTGGACCAGAGGACGAGGAAAAGAGAAGGGGCGTTGCGCCCCACTGAAGCGCTTCCAGCAAGACTGGGCTGGAACTCTCAAATATGAAAACGAGTTACGCAACTTGCAGGCCTGCCAGCTGCACCAACAAGAACAAGAGAATGTACCAACATCGGCACTGAGAACCAAATGCGCTGGTGCTGCTGTACGTACGGTGATTGACATGCATGCACGTGACGTGTACCAGGCACGCGTCGAAATGGAAGTTCCCTCGTTCTTGTCGTGTATCTCGCTCGGAATGATAGGCCGCGATGGCAGGCAACTGCAACAGGACATGCCAATGACAAGCCCGAGCACCGCTCTGCACTCCGTGGCCTACGAAAAGAAGCACATACTATGGTAGAAAATTGAGCGGTGGCTTTCCGCGAAAACACTTCGCCGTGCCCTGTCCCTACACCTCATCCCCTGGTTGCCCCGATACGCAGCACGCAGCACGTAGCGTGTTGACGTGGAGCGCGGCACGCAGACCGAAAACGTACGTCTGGCGCAATACGCTCGCCACAAAGTGTGCCAACAAGTTGAGCCAACATGCAACGCACTCACAAGGACGTCTCGAACACGGCAAATGTTGCGTTTCAGCACGTGCGTATCAGGGCATCCAGCTGTCGCGGTGCGACCCGGTCCGCGACCCAACAACGACCCGGCCCGCGACCCAACACCGACCCGCCCGTGACCCACCCGCGACCCACTCACGACCCACCCCGCGACCCAGCCGCTGCCTCCTCCTCCTCCTCCTCCTCCTCCTCCTCCTCCTCCTCCTCCTCCTCCTCCTCCTCCTCCTCCTCCATCCCTCCTCCATCCCTCCTCCATCCCTCCTCCTCCTCCCCCCCCCCCCCGAGCTCCAATCCCTCCTCCCCCAGTCCCTGCCTCCCCACTCTCCTCCCCGAGAGCTCCACGTCCCGCCCTCCCCCTCCGCGTGCCCCCGCCTCGCCCCTCACGCGGGCTGCGGCACCCGGGCGCGCTCGCCGACGGGGGCCGCGCGGCCGGGGGCGGCCAGCAGGGCAGCGAGGCGCCTCTGCCCTGCCTCCGCCGTGGCGAGGACCTCGTTGGCGAACCTCGGGGGCCTCCTGGTCTCCCTCCTCCTCCTCCTCCTCCTCCTCCTCCTCCTCCTCCTCTCCTCCCTCCTCCTCTCCTCCCTCCTCCTCCTCCTCCTCCTCTCCTCCTCCTCGTCCTCCTCTCCTCCCTCCTCCTCCTCCTCCTCCTCCTCCTCCTTCTTCTTCTTCTTCTTCGGCGGCGGCGGCGAGCGAGGGGGAAGGGAGGGAGCGAGATGGGGAGCAGGCCTGCTCAGAAGGCGGCGGGACCTCTCGGGAGCCCTCCTTCCCTCTGAGAAGGCTTCTGTGTCTTCGGGGAAGGCTTGGGAAACTTCTCAGGAGGCTGGGGCACTTCCGAGGCCTCTGAGAAGACCCGCCGCTTTTCACTCCCCCCCGGCTCGCCGCCGAGACGATTCACCGATCCCTAAGGTCAAAACCCAGACCTGCTCGCGTCCCCGAAATCACGGCGGGGGGCTTTGGTGGCCGCTTTCGGCCTCACAGCGTCCTCGCTGGGCCTCGGGACCGTCACAAGACGACTCGGGAGGAAAAGCCGGCCCCAGTACAGGGTCGGGACTTCCAGGGACCGCGTATTGCAAAATTCAGGACATCTCATGTCTGGGAAGGACGCGAGGTAAGGATGCAAGGCCCTTGGTCCTTCCAAGTTGGGCGTCCTTGCGGGAGTACCGCGTCCTTACCATGGATTTGGACTGCATCCCCACTGGCGTGGCCTGGGCCCCACTGGCCGATTTCCCCTCATCCCTTCGGGTCTCGAGGGGCCTCCCCAGCTGGAGTGGTGGGGTGGTGGGGCTGAGATGCAGCCGCACATGTGATCAAGACACCAATGACTCAAGACATCTGGGCCAGCTCCCGGAAAACTTTCTCAAGACAAGCCGGGCCACCTTCTGCTGCCACCTCTGGAGGGCGAGCGGGCCCAAGAAGCCGGGCCGGCTTCCCGGCGGCTTGGCCGAGAGGCGCCGGCCCAGCCTCTCGACGGGAGGCCTCTCGACCACGTGCTCGACCGCACCGTGGCCCGGCCAGGAGAGCCCAGAAGCGAATCGACAAGTCGGATCGGAAGTCGACACGAGTCGGATCGGCGGGAATCGGCAGCCGCATCGGGAAAGGTCGAATCGGCAGAAATCGGCAGGCGAATGTGCCTCCCATAAGACATCGGAACCCACATCGGAATCCCAGGTCGAAGCGAATCGGAATCTGGAAGCCGTCGAAATCGAACCGAATCGAATCGGAGGAGTCGACACGAGCCCTGCCCGGCGGGGGTGGGGACGGGCGCAGCGAGAGACGGACCTCGGGAGCAGCTCGGCCTCGCGCACCGCCTCCCCGTACAGGCGCGCCGCGGCCTCCGGGTCGCCCGCCAGCTCCGCCGCGCCCGCGCGCACGGCGAGCGCCTCGGCCGCGGCCCGGGAGGCGGCGCCGCCGAGCGTGCGGCGGGCGAAGTGGAGCTTGAACTCGGCGGCCGCCACGGCCGCGGGAGCGTCGCCCTGCTCCAGGAGCTGCCGGGCGGCGGGCCCCGCGAGCCTCGCGGCCACCCAGTGCCCCTCGGGCGAGGGCACGCGGGTGGGGTCCTGCGCGGCCTCGCCGACGAGCCCGTCGTACATGGCGGCGGCGATCTGGTCCTATGGGGGGGAAGCAGCGGTGGCATCCTCGTGGACGAGCTCGGAGGGCCGCGCGGATGCCTCCCTCGGAACGGCGCTGGGGCTGCCCCCTGGCGGCCGTGGCGCGCTCCGCGCGGCAGGGAGGGGGGTTCAGTGGCGATCCGGGAAATCCGCGCGGACCTCGGCGTTTTTACGATTGTGGCACGGTGAGGGCATTGGAAAAGGAACCACTGGACAAGGAAGTCAGGGTCTGGAAACCGATGGCAGTCCAATGGAGGCTTGGCTATGGATAGCACCACCACCTCCTCCAGATGAGGCGTGCTCCAGGGTCTGATGCCTCCCAGGCACATTCCTCAACGAACGGCCCCACCGTGTTTAGACGAGCGCCTTCCACTGCTCGCAAATGGCCTGGATCCGCGGGGGGGGACCTACGAGAAGCTACATCGACTCAGACATGTGTGTGTTTTTTGCGGGCGTCTGCGAGACAGGCACTCTGCGAGCAGGGGAGCGCGCTCGGCGAGTGCTGCTTGCCCCCCCGGGGTCCACCAGGGGGCCCTGCCGCAGGGACTGCACGTGCCCCACCCACTCCGCCTCTCGGGTCGGGCGAAAGGGGGGGATAGCAAAGGGGAGGTTTCAGAATCAGCTCACGTAGCTGCTTTTCCCGGCGCCTCCCGGCGCCGGAGGCGGCCATGTATCGAGGAACGGGCCCCTCGGCGAGGCCGAAACCAGCTGCATGCAGCAAATTTCGTAACCCCCCAGGAGGAGGAGGAGGAGGAGGAGGAGGAGGAGGAGGAGGAGGAGGAGGAGGAGAGGAGGAGGAGAGGAGGAGGAGGAGGAGGAGGAGGAGGAGGAGGAGGAGGAGGAGGAGGAGGCCGACCCCGAGCCTCGACGCGCTCCAGCTCCTCGGCCGGCGCGGCCGCGCCGCACGTGGCGCACGGGCACCAGGCCCCGCCGGCGGCGTGCGCGCGGAGCGTGCCGGCCCCGCACTCGCCGCACACGAAGCCCCGGGTGTCGTCGGGCCCGGTGCACCTTCTGGGGGAAACTGAGAGGCTCCTCCCTCCTCCTCCTCCTCCTCCTCCTCCTCCTCCTCCTCCCTCCTCCTCCCTCCTCCTCCCCCTCCCTCCCTCCCTCCCTCCTCCCTCCCTCCCTCCCTCCCTCCCTCCTCCCTCCCTCCCTCCCTCCTCCCTCCTCCCTCCCTCCCTCCCTGCCTCCTCCCGGGAGCACACTCTGACTAGGATATCGAGACGAATCCAGCGGTGGCGACGAAGGCCTCCCAGGAGACCCACACAGGAGCGACAGCGAGGGGAGGGTAGCGGTGTGGGTATACCCCTTCCTCCTCCGAGCCTCGGGCACTCGCAGTCGAATCCCCAGGTTCGCCGCAGCAGCTCCCGGCGACGCGCCGACGGCTTCAGCAACTCGCCCTCGCCGATGTAGGACACCAGCACCTCCTCGCCGGGCGCCGGGCCGCCAGGCGCGACGGGCAGCAGGGAAGGCGGAGAAGGTGGAGGAGGGGAAGGGCCGTGGGAAAGGATCACGGGAAGGGAGGAGGGTAACGCGAGGATACGTGCGAGCAGGAAGGGGGAGGCTGAAGAGGGGGAGGGGAGGAGGAAGGTTGAGGGAACCGGGAGGCGGATAATGATAAGGGGGGGGGCCTCGGGCGCAGGAGTGGACATATCATTGATGCGTATCGGGCGGAAGGGGTGACGAGAAGGTGGATGGGGGAGGGAGAGGAGGGGAAGGAGTGATGGAATTGGCAAAAAGATGAGGGGGAGGTAGCGGGCGACGAGAGCAACAGATGGACGAGGATAAGAAAGAGTTGGAGAAGGGGGAGGGGTAGGGCAGGAGAGGAGGATGCGGGGGGCGGGGGCTGAAGAAGAGGCGCGCCGAAGAGAGAGAGAGAGAGAGAGAGCGGTGCACACCCAATCCCAATCGGGTTGTGACGGGTTCGGTGAAGACCTGACCTAGAACCCAGGAGGTCCCGAACAAATTGACGGTAAGGATCTGTGGATAAAACGTGTCCACCGCTCCTGGAATCGTGCGCCAATGCCCAGCGAAGGCTCTGTAGAAGAACAGAGGGATGACTCCATCACCGCACTTCCCCTCCTTTCGCAAGGGAACAATCGGAAACCACGTTGGTTTTCATTTCACACGCTGGCAGCGTCAACGAACAAATATTGGGTTCATGCCACGTGGTCCCTGTTACGTAGTGATGGAATGTGTGGACAGAACACGTGGGCAAATCTGATGCGGAGGAATTATTTCCAGGACCGCATACTGTTAGCATCCAAGGATAATCTTATTTACGCAAAAGCTTGGAGAAGAAGACATCCTACCCCCCTGCGCTTTCCCCTTCCGGCTGGTATCTCAGGCGACATGAGCTCCTCCTCATATTGCCACCCTCCTCCTGGTCAGCATCATCTTCCAGGTTTCCTCCTTCTTTTCCACCTCGTCAAGCCTCCTCCAACCCTATCTACCCCCAGCCTCGAAAGCTTGCGGCATGCACAGAATGCTGTTGATGCCTTCTTGCCTCAATGCAGGTAGCAAGCGTTGTTTGCCAACGACGGCGAAGCGGCATACCACAGACGCCGGGGCGTTCAGACCTTGTCCTGTTGGGCCCTCGCATGGTACGTTTTCACGACGTGCTTGGCCAATTTCGACTACACCGTGACGGCTTTGTCGAACAATTCGCGTTTCCCGACATTGGTCGCCTTTTCCAGGCGGCCCTAAGTAATCACAGCAGTGCCCCGAGTGAAGAACTTGCCGTTGTTTTGTCGTTGCGGCCGCGGTCGTGGTCGCTAGAGCGCCCCACGCCGAGCTGGCAACATCCTTCGTCACCTCGCAACTCGCTGCCAGGCGTCCTATTGACCACCACCTGCTCCTCCTCCTCGACGTTCTTATCCTCCTCCTCCTCCTCCTCCTCCTCCTCCTCCTCCTCCTCCTCCTCTGCCTCCTGGGAGTCTGCCCTCGCTGCACTCCCTCCTCCCCCTCTTCTTCCCGGCCGCCTTCTCGGGGCCTGGCCTGGGCCCCGCGGCAGTCTGCCGCGAGCTCCTCGGCGCCTCCTCGGTGCGCTCCGCCCTGCAGGCTGGCCGCCTGCTGACGGCCGCCTGCCGCGCCAGGCGCCCGAGTCCACGCGGCCACCTGGCCATCGTCTCGTCGTCCTCCTGCCGCTCCGCATCCTCGTCCTCATCCTCCGCCTCTTCGCCCGAACTCCTGCGCCGCGCGCGGCGGGGAGCCGGCGGCCGCAGCCCCGGCCGCCGCACCTGCCGCTGCTGCAGGGTGCCCCGGGCGCTCTCCCTGCGGAGGGAGTCGGAGCGTCGCTGGGCCGTCCTGTCCGCCGCTCTGGCGGCCATGCTGGACCATCCTGTCCGCCGCGCTGGCCGGCCACGCGGCAGGCCTGCACACGGCCCTGGTGTTGTCTTGTGTGCTCCCCGTGCCTCGCGGGGCCAGCGCCTGGGTCCTGGTCCCCCTCCCTCCTCGCGCCCTCCCACCTCCTCAGTCCTTCTGCTCCTCGGTCTTCCTTCTCCCACCGCACGGCCACCACATCTTCCTCTTCGCTTCTCCTCGTTCCATCCCGTTTCCCGTCTAAGCAACGCAGTCCTGTCGCACTCCCTGAAGTGTTTGTATGGCGGGCGGCTTGGCGCTTCGCCTGAGATGTCTTCACTATGTACCCCCCACTTCAATGTTGCAACAACTGCAAGGATGGAAAGGGGGGGGGGGGGGGGCAAAATGGGGCACTCGCCGATGCAGCGCCACGCGCATTCGCCTCAGAAGCTTGCGGCCCCTGCATGGATAGAGGGGGGCTGCTTTCAGAACGGGCTGCTCGCCTCAGCGCCACACGCATTCGTCTTTAAAGTTTGGCACAGCGGCGCGGACGGAGAGGGTGGTCAAAATGGAGCTCTCGCCAGAGCGCCGCGCACAGCCGTGTTGCACGCTCGCAGCGGCTGCGAGGATGGAGGGCGGCTAGGTCTTCAAAGTGAGGCTTCTGCCCTGGCACCGCGCCCAATTGTCCTACAGACTTGTATCGGCTACGAGAACGGAGGGGACCCATTGGAGCGTTCAAGATGGCCCAAGATGGCTCCAAGAGCGCCCCCGACGCCCCAAGATGACCTCCAATATGGTCCAAATGCCCGAACATGGCCCAATATAGTCTTCAGCGTACCTCCGAGACATCCCAAAGGAAGCTCCAAAGCGGCTTTAAGTGCCCTCCGAGCACTTCCGAGGAATCTCCTAAGAGGCCAAAGTCTTCCAAACACATCAGGGGGAACCATGCGCTGTGCCTTCTCGCCGTTTCGCTTCCGAATGGCATTTGAGGCGCCACGATGGCCCCATGATGGCCTAATAGAGGCCTCAGAGGCCCCCAAGGCGGCCCCAGGAGCACCCAAGAGAGCTCCAAGAGCGCGCCATGAAGAGCTCAGTGTTCGGCGGTTTCCGAAGGAGCACCTGCATTTTAGCCGTCACCCTTTGTGAGCGTTGGAGCCCAAGATCGCCCCGAGAGGGCGCGACGACCATTCGCAAGACCCCTGAAACAGCTTCAAAAGGACCCCAAGAGGGCCCCGAAGGCTCACAAAATGGCGCACCAAGATGGCTTCAAGAGGGCTTCAAAGAACCCTGGACAAAGCTCCCCAAAAGCTCGCGTAGCGAAACCTCAGCGAAGGCTTTCTGGTTGACTCGTCGTCGTCGTCGTCGTCGTCGTCGTCGTCTTCAGCACGCCTGGGCGTCGTATCTGGATGGGCTGGTGGGGATACGCGAAGCGTCTTGAAATGGCAAAGCGAAGCTATCGCCTCAACGCCTCGCACATTCGCTATGCAAGCTTGCAACCGATGAATTGATAGAGGACAGCTTCTCTTCAGACTGTGGCTCCTGCTGGAGGTTTCAGAAGCTTTAACGACCAGACAGTTTCCAGCATGCAGCACATCTGTGGATGAAGGGCGGGTGTTTTTTTTTCAAATTGGGGCCCTAGCCTAGGCCCCCTCCCATGTACAACCTTGTGCACCCACCACTTAACACTGGTAGGGGGGGGAGCGTTTTTTTGTTCAAAAGAGGTTCTCGCTGGTCACGTCGATGAGCTTTAGGGTCTTACCTCCTCGGTCCTTCGAATATTCTGGAAAGCTGCAAGGCACTTCATGTTCGAGGCGGAGCTCTCGCCCGAATGGTAGGCCCATGTGACGCTCGTCTTTCAAGGGGGGCTGTCCCTGCAGTGGAAAGGGAAGGCGTGTAGCGACTTGTGGGGAGGGGACCTGGGAAAGGGGAAGGGGGCGGCTGTATTGCAGCACCGTTCATGCATCCTGGGGTTACCCTTGTCCTCCCCATGTTCGGCTACACGCAAGAGCGACCGTGGGTAAGAGTGACCTTTGGTGCGCGGCTTGTCTTGGGCCGCGGGGGGGGGGACCAAACACAGGCGCGCAAGGCGCCACTATCGCATCGCGTTCGGCGAACGGGGGACCCGAATGGTCCCACACCGCAGGTTCCTCTGGCGAAAGGTCACTCCCACGTGAAGTCGACCGTTCTCCCCCTTCCCAGTCGAGGCGCAGTCGCGAGGTCCTCGCCCGGCGCTATGTCGCGGAGCGCGACGACGCGGATGACCGCCCCTCGCCGCCCGGCAGATGGACCAGAGCGGCAGCAGGCTGCCCCGTCCCCCCCCCCCCTGCCCCTCCCCCTCCTTGCCGTCGCTCGGACGCCCATCCCCCGTGCACTTTTCGACGTCGTGCGGGATGCTTTTTCGCAGGATGCTCCAGGATGCTCCTCAAGAGTCCCCGCCGCGAAAAAAGGCACACGTCCAAGCGATGCCAAGCCTCTGGGAGCAGCGGGAGGGTGCCTCCACCCCCGTCCTCTGCAGGGAGGAAGAGGGAGAGAGGGCAAGGAAGCTCGCGCGGTCACGTTTCCATTCAACCCGACATATGACGAACGAACAACACACACCCATACACATAGGGGCGGTCGTGGGGAAGAGGACTGGTTATGGGTATGGGTGCGGGTTGTCGGACCCTGGGGAACGCTCCCGTTCGAGCGGGGACCCCCATCCGACAACACGCACCCATAGCCCTCTCCGACCCCCCTATGGGTATGGGTGTGTGTGTTGTTGGCTCGTCAACATAAGAAGCACAGCAACGAACTCGAGCGTCGAGCTGACGCTTTGGGCCGCGGCCCTGAGAAGTCGACTATTTTCTCCTTCGGGAGCGCGCACACCTCACACGATGCCTTCGGCATCCCCCCTTCCCCCGAGAGAGGAACACCGGGGGCGGAGGGAGGTGGTACAGCCATCGTGCTGCCACAAGGAACACCGAATAAGGAACGAAAGGGGTTTTCTGGCCACGGCGAGCCTCGGCTTCGAATAGGCTCCCGACCCAGACCACAGGAGCGGGCCGAACACCCGAGCCCCTCCCGAGCCCAGCGTGGTCCTCACTTCCGCGCCTTGGCCGCCAGAGCGGCGCGCCGCGGCGCGAGGCGAGGCCCCGCGCGGGGCAGGCAGGCGAACCGCCCGGCTGCCTGCCCGCGCAGCTCAGACCTCGTGCGCGGGCCCGTGCGGCAGGAACGGGGAAACCGCCAGCAGTGGCACAGCTGAGCCGCCGCCGGCGCAGCCCGAGACTTTGGAAGCGAGGGCGCGCACGCGCGACCTCACGCGGGCGGCCTGCGCGCCAATGTCGGCGAAGGCGACCCCGTGTTCTTTTCGCCGCCCATCTGTCGGACCAACTTGCCGCTCGGGGCCAGAGGGCCCCCCTTCATCCTCGTTCCTCCTCCTCCTCCTCATCATCATCATCCCTCCATCCCTCCATCCCTCCCTCCCTCCCCAAGAGAGCCACTTGCACTCCACAGAATGACCGACTACATATCACCAACCCTGGACGATTCTGGATGTCACCCCCGACGCAGCTCAAGCGGTGATGGTACTTGGGGAGTAGATATTATGCGTGAGCTGAGATCTTGCACTGCGCAGCTGGCGCCCTTCCCACTCAGAGATACCTGATTGCTGAATGGCCAACCGCAAGTGGAAAGTCTTCGGGATTGCCAAGCCGAAGTGCAACCACCTAGCAAGTTCTTCGATCGCGATCAACATTGTCCTCACGCTGCGGCGCTGTTCCAATCCGAACTCGTGGTTATCATGATCATTCCGTGGTGATGAACAGCAGTCGGACGTTCATGGGCGGGTGATATTTTCATTGCGGTCGAACAATCCTCGCCATCGCTCGGACGCCCAATTCCCGTGCATTGTTCAGCCTCGTGCGTTCATTTTTTCACACGATGATTCAAGATGCTGATCGATGGTCCTCGCCGGAGAAACATGCACGCGTCCAAGCGATGCCAAGAATCTGGGAAGGTACGCGCTTGCTTGCCCGCTGTATTTCAGGATTGAGGCTGGCGATCATGGGATTGCGAATCGCGGTCGGACAGTTTACATGACAAGCCGCGCGGTCGCTCTACTGGGAGTGATCGACCGCGGTTGCCTGTTTTGGGGGCGAAGTGCGCAACCCCCTCCCCTCCCCCCCCCAGAACGGCCGAGAACAAAAACGAGTATTACGCTGCCGAGGAACCCCACATACTTCGTTTGAGCTCTTGTCTTAGCATAGCTGGCGTGCAACATACGTGGACGATGCTAGGTGGTCAAGAAAATGCCGCGCCTACTGTGCCGTGGACGACCAGGGCGGATAGCGCCCTCATCCCCAGCCCACCCCCTGTGGCGTCGAGGAAATGCCACCCCAGAACGGCCGGGAACAACAACAAGTATTAGAAGCTACATGGGCGAAGAGGCCGGTAGCCCTCTCTCCTCATGCCCTGCGAGCGCCGCAGGGCGGATGGAAGCCATGCCCGTGCAGGGGGCACGATCCGCGTGAAGGGTATTCCCAAATGGGCGGGGGGGCGCCTGACAACTTCATGCGTCGGCGGCCAAGCAGAGTAACTGCGCTGGCGATGAGCTACCTAAACGGGGGTGCAGCTGTAGCGAATTGTGCAGTCATGCAGGAGGAGGGGAAAAGGGGCAAAGGGCGCGCCGAAAAAAGTGGGGCTGGAGGGGGGCGACGCCGCTCATGGGGACGGGTCACGCCCCGAGCGCGTGGCGCGGCCGGCCCCGGGGACGCGCAAAAAACGCTCTCAGTGGGGGCCTGCCGTGCGTGGAGGTTCCTATGGGGCACCATCCGCGCGAGGGGAGTGGCGAATGAGGCGCGGGGGCGCGGCACGAACGCGCCCACTGCGGCCACAGGTGGAGCTCACTGTGAGGCACGATCGGCGTTGAGGGGCGTGCGAAATGGGGGCGCGGGGGACGCCGGGCGAACGCACCCGCTGGGGCCGTGGGTGGAGCACCCTGTAGAACAGGATGCGTGTGAGGGGTGCTGAAACGTGCGCGGGGACGCCATGCGACCACACCCACTGAGGCCATAGGCGGATCTCCCTACGGGGCACGATGCGCGAGAGGGGAGTAGCGAAAGTGGGCGCGGGAACGCCATGCGAGCGCACCCACTGGGGCCATGGCTGGAGCTAACTACGGGGCGCGATCCGCGTCAGGGGCTTGCCGAACTGGGCGCGGGAACGCCATGCAAACGTACCTACTTGGGCCGTATGTTGAGCTCACAGTGCGGGCACGAAACGTGTGTGCCGAAATGGGCATGCGGACGGAGAGCAGAGAAGAGACGGATCAGGGGGGAGGAGGTGAGTGAATAAAGAGACGCGCGGCGCTACGGATCCAAAACGAGTACCCAACACAACGTGAAGGTTCGGAAATGAGAGTCCGTCGACCGCGGTCGTTATTTCTGGGGCTAGTGATCCATTCGACTGCTAGAGAGAGGGGGGGGGAAATACATTACGTAGTGGTACGATAGACCGCGATTTGCTATTCCTAGGGGTGCACAGCCGCGGCTGGCTTGCTACTCCCGAGGAACAACCCCTGGACGGTCATGCTCATATTTCGACTATGGCGTGTTGCCAGATCATACATAGTACACCCATGCACATGAGCGACCGCGATTGAACTAGCTTGCCATGGTTGCTGATACCAGATAAAAAGCCAGCCGATGCTGATCCGCAACAGCGGGCCGACTGTCGTTCCCAAAGTATCCCCGCTCGCCCAAACGAAGGCCTACATACATTTAGGGCCATCCTGCTGTCCAGATATGAAAGCAACCGCAAAGGTCCAATCGGTGTCTTTTCGGCCATCGGCTGCCCCGAGCCGAAAATACCCACGCCTTCTATGTCCTTCTCCTTCTTATTGTCCCTCTCTTCACTCCTTGTCTTCTCGTCTCTCTCTTCTTCATGCTTTTCAAACTCCTCCACTCTCATCTTTCTCTTCATCCGTCTTCCCCCCCACCCCTCGCGTAACAAGACTCCCTCCTCCATCCCAAGTCCCTCTCCGCCTCCTCATTCTGCTCGCCCTCTGCACTCTCCCGGTTATCCTCCTCTGGTCCCTCTTCGTCGTCCTCATCCTCCTCCTCATCCTCCCTTCCTTTTCCTACTCCCTCTCATCCGTGTCCTGACTTTCCTCTTTTACTTCTTCGCCGTGCTAGCTGTAAATGGCCTTCCTCATTCGCAGAGCGTTCTGTCAAGACAGCGTCCAGCCGCTAGTCAGACGCATGCCCGCAAGGGGTCAAAAGGAGGACAGAAGGGGGGAAGATGAGGCGAGTGAAGGTTTCTGGATGAGGATGTTTGGTGTCAATGAGTTCTCAAGGAAGGACCGTAAAGAGGATCGGAGGGGAGAGGAAGGGGATGGGAGGGAAGGGGGTGGCAGAGCGGTTGGAATAAAATCAGGAGGAGGAGGATTAGCGGAAAGAAAAAACAGCGTGGGGCGGAATGGCGAAAACGCCTTGTGACCCTCTCGTGCCCTCAAGGGGTCAAAACGACGTCGCAGTTCTCCTTGCTAGAGACCGCAATCCAGCTTAACAGTAGCTCAAAGACGAGGCTCCTGTAGCGAGCAAGAAGATCCCACCTGTGTCGCCGACGAGTAGAAGGGCGATGAGGGCGAGATGCGTGAAGGGTAGGAGCAATTTGGCGAGGACGAGGGGGGAAGACGGGATTGGAGGAGGATGCGGAGAGAGCGACCCGCCCCACCCTCGTCGGTGACGAGGGATGCGTTGGGCTTGCAGCTGTGATTCGCCCGGCAGGCGGTCGCGTAGATGGCGGCGCCTGCGCTGCGGGCGCTACATGATGCAGACGGCATGGGGGCTGCTCCCAATCCGTGCGCAACCTGCTCCTCCTCCTCCTCCCTTGTCCGTCTCGTCTGTTCCCTTCTCCTCCGCCTGCTTGTTGCCCCTTTTATCCCTCGCTATGATCCGCCGACCCCTTGCGGGTCTGTAGGCGTGTGAGATTCTTTCCCCCCGTAACCCCGCCCGCAGGGACCCCAAAGACCCCGGACCGAACGCGCCACAGGGTTCCAAAACTCGTCAAAAAGGTACCACAACTCGCCAAAAAGGTACCAAAACGCTCCCCGGACGGTCCCCGAGACCACGATTCGCAAACGCTCCCCGGACGGTCCCCGAAACTTCGCCGACATGGCGCCCCCAGACGCCCACGATGGCCTCCAGGCGGTCTCCGAAGCTGCCAAGACGCACCAGAAGGCCCCTAAAATGCGCCCAAATCGCCCCATCCCATTCGAAAAACATGCATTTGTTCGCATGTTCGCCTATTCGGTTTCCACAACGTCCCAGACGGGCAAAGAAACCTTCAACATCGCCCCCAGACGGCCAAAGGGGCCCCCAAGAAGGGTCGAAGAGGGTCCAACAACAGCACCCGAAGCCCCCAAGACAGCCCAAGAGGGCCCCCAGACGGCTCCAAGACGGAGCCCAGAGGGCACCTTTTCGAGCCTTCGGGCCCAAAACGTTCCCAGCCTGCCCCAAGAACAGCCCAAGAGGCCCTGAGGGACCCCCAAGAGAACCTCAACGGCCTCCAAGAAACCCCCAGGAAACCCCCAAGAGGCTCCAAAACTTGGCCCAAGATGCCTCGAGGCGGCTGGATATGGCCTGCAGACAAGCCAAAATGCCACCAAAAGGCCACAAAAGAGCACCACGAGGTACGATAACAACAACGAAACAACAATGACGATGTCGAGCGCCGTGTCATGATTCGGACAAGCCTCGCGAAATGAAGTCCTGGAGGCGCAGTAGTTTACATATGGGGTCGGCGGATGTGGCGTAAGCCTACAGAATATCCTCGTCTTCTTGCGACGGCCCGTCATTCTCCCCCCCCCTTCCTCCCTACCCTACCCTCCTTGTCGTCCTCCCCCTACTGCTTCGCTGGCCCGTCGAGGCGTCTTCGGAACCGCACAGAGCGCCACCGAGGACGGGCCCTGTCGACGAGCGTGCTGGCTTTCAAGCTGGAGGGTGGTGGCTGTATCTTCTTACTGTGTCCAGGTGGCCCCTCTGCTTAGCAAGCATTACCTTGAACCCGCACGCACCCGCACCCGCACCCACAGGCACCCACATTTTGTTTGAACTCCTCCGACGATGTGGGTAATGATCGTGGCGAATGCGACTGGGGACGCTAGATTATCTGCATCCGCGCAGGATGGGGACGCGCTCAAGCCCAGCTGTGTGGTCCTGGGTGAGGGGCAATCTGAACGAGGGGCAGAATGACACAAAAACAAGACAACCAGGCACCCGCACCCACACATTCACACTACCAATCGATTTAAGCATCTGCGCAGTAATGGGCGGGGTATATGCAAACTGTCCTGCTGGCCCATCTAAGCAGTCTTTCTGGAGCCACGCGGTGTCGATGATGCTGGTGATAGGCGGTGGTGATGAACACTACGACGCTAATAACGTCAGGGCAATGGTGATGCTGGTGACGACGATTCTGCTGAACACAACGATGGTGACGGTGATGCTGATGTTGGAGATTTCGATTATTATGATGAAGATGATGGTGACGGCGGGAAGGCGCCAGCGGACGCTCTTTGCATCCATGCCACCCGCCGCAATCCCGAACGACAGCGGAAGAGGAGTGGCCCTTTGGCACTACCGTCGAGGGACAGAGGGAATTCTGTGCGCAACCCCGCTCGCCGAACCATAAAGATGAAAACGCATATGCAAACCCCCTGTCCACTCTCTAAATGGGCGAGCAAGAACCCTTTTGCGTTCATCTCGCCACCGGACCCCCCAGGTGAGAGCGCGAATGCAATTGCTCCTGGGCTCCGCATATCTCAGAAGACACGCGGGGTTCTTTGCGCTCATCCAGCTGATAGGGGCACCCGGCCCACTCGCAAGCATAATGGTCACTGGCCCTCCTGTAGAAAACCAGAGGGTGCTGTCTGCACCCGCCGCGCCCAACGAAACGCCCCATGGATATTTTTTCGTTGCGGCCGCAGGCGAGAGCGCCAGCGGCGAGTCAGGTCCGAGCGGGCCGCGCAAGAGCCGAATCACCTAACGCCGACGGGCACCCGCCCCATGGATGCGCGAACAGAGCCGATCTTGGGCGCGCCCATGGAGGGCCGACGGAGGCCCTCCGCACTCTCAGCGCCCACTGGAGCACCAAGCAGAAACAGAGCAGACGCTGTCCAGGCAGAGCTCTGCGCACGTCATGGCTGGCGTGTCTCGGCGAGCTTCCGACCTGCATTGCGTAGGCCTGACTGGCGAAAGGTATCCAGGTGAGTCTTCGTATGGGGCCTCCGTGGACCGCCGCGGCCCTATCATAAAAGCGATGTCGACTGGATTTCGTGCGCGATTCGACCGCCCCCCTTCGCCCTATCGTCCAAATGCCGTCCAAAGCTCGACCGCATCAGTCGGAATCTGGACGACCCCCCCCGAAACGCGAAGGCGTTCGGGCCCCCTGGCGCCCCAGTGAAGGACCGCGCAGAGGCACGGTGCGCGAACTTCCTCGCGCGAGCGCGCGCTCGCTGACGAGCGGCCCAGCCTGGCGCCCGAAGGCAATTCGCGGCGGGGCCCCTTGGAACCCCGCGCGGGCCCATTCGCGGCGAGCCCCCTCGGGCGATCCGACAGCAAGTCCACTGGTGCATCCGCGTCATCAATGGGCCGTCTGGCGCGCAAATGAGCAGTGGAAGGGAACTGGCGAGAGCGGCCGCACCCCCGCGTCGTGCCCTTCCAGACGCTGGCCGGCATGGCGGCGACCTCTGGAATATATATATATATATATATATATATATACATATATATATATATGTAAATACATATATGTATATATATGTATGTATGTATGTATTTGTCCACGTGCGTGCGCGGCGCTTCTGCTCGCATCGCGCGCCCGCGCCTGTCTGGGGCGGCCGCGCCCGCAGACCGACGGATGATCTCGAAGTTCCACGCTTCCTGCTTCAGAAACATTCGCGCGCGGGGTGGCCGTCGCCCAAGCGCGCAATCTTGCCCGAACGTGTCTATTGCCGCTCCAGCAAGAGATGGCTCAGCCAGCTGTGCCTCGCCTGGCCAGGCACTGAAACATCTGTCGCGCGAAATATACATGAATGCGGAATATCTGCGACCTTTCGCGAACACCTTGCTTAGAACGCGCCAAGTTTTGACGCGCATGCCGCATTCAACCAACCGCGCAGCGTGGAGGCCGGGCAAAAGCTAAAAGCTCTGAGATCACGCACGCGTTGAACATATTGACTTTCGTCTTCGCGGACAGAGCGATGTGGGGTCACGTGCGAGCGGGCTCGTCGAACTCAGACCTCGTTGCCCCGAGCCTTTTTTCCAGCGTCGGCGTTGCCATTGGATGAGAGCGCGCTTCCCAGGTGCACGATGCGCTTTCGACGCTTGGCAGCGCACAGGCAATCGTTGCACAGGCCGCAGTTGGCGCCAGCATCCGAGATGGATGGCGCGAGCTTGGCAGCTCTGCCCTCGCCCGCGACCGCATTCAAAATGTCGCCTGCGTGGGCGAGGTCGTTGACATCGTCCGCGTCCGCCACCGTTGCGTGCTTCGCATCGGTCAGGAGGGCCGTCGTTGCCATGGCGAACGGGAGCGGGGAGAGAGGGCATCCCCGGCATATTCCTGCGTTCTGCTCTCGCGAAGCAGGTGTCTGTCCAACGTCTCGCACAGCGCAGCGACGCCCGGCGTAGATCGCGCCCGCGCCCCTCGGCATCTTGTCCGGCGGCCCAAAGCTGCGCAAAGACTGCAGCAGAGCCGCAGGGTCGACGCCGCCGAAGGCTTTGGCCCAGTCGAACGCGAGGAGAGCGAGGCGCGAATCCATTGCGCCCCACGCATCGCCAAAGAAACGCTTCTCCATATCGAGGCATCCACGCTTCCGTTCTGCGACTTGAGACTGGGCTGCGTCAGCCAGGCGCGCGACTCAGCGCCGGCCGCCAGAAGGCGCCGCAGTAGGATGGAGGCGTCGAGCTTGTTTGCAGAAGACATGTAGGCATAGACTTGCAACCAACCAATGGGCCGCGCCGACCTCCGAACACTTCGAACCAGAGCGCCGTCGCCCATCTCCTCGCTGGCGATCCCAGCGAAGCGGCGACCTTCCAAAGGTCTCCCCGCACGCCGTCCGAGCCGTAAGGTTGGCCCCATTTCATCTTGCGGGTCGCTGTCTCCGCCTCGCTGTCAAATATGATGCCGACATCAACTGTAATGGATGCGCCCAGAGGTTCTGCGCGCATATCCGCAAATGTCCCCGGCAACCCGTTGCATCTCGCCGACGCGTCCGCCCGGGCTTCAGAATCGACTACGCGCGATTACCGGCTCCGGAGCCGGCCATGCTGCGGGCAGAACCCTTTGAGGAATCGTCGCGCCTGGCTTCACGGTTCAGTCGCCCTTTGCGATCAAGTTTCCAGTCGCGTTGCGCGGTCTTTCCTAAAAAACATCTTGACCACGACGCCGAGGCACTTCTCAGCACTGCGATCGCGGGCCATCTTTGCGACAGAGCGCTGCTGGATAAGATGTAGCGTGCGGATATATGTTCACGGCCGGCGCGGGGTCAACGTTGCCGTCGGCGCAACTTGCTCTGCGGCACGGTGGAAGGCGGCCGTCGTGGCAGCATTAACTTCATTGGCAGACGCATCACCTTCTGGAGCACAAGCGACCATCTGGTAGGCAAATGCTTCAACGAAGCCAGCGGTTATGGGCGGTGACCGGATCGAGCGAAGGTCAGGTCGCTCTGCTGCTCTGTTCTGCTCTGCTGCGGCGGTGGCCACGCCGCCGCGGAAAATGATGTCGACGTCTGCGGCCAGGAGAAGGTG